GGGGGGGAAGAGAGGCCCTTGGAACAAGGTTGCTTAAAAATTATAACGACGATCAAGTGAAAATGAAGGCGGCAGAAAGAGGCCTGTGTTTCGAATTTGTAATGTCATCTCAAACGAGTTATTTAAAAGTAGTTTTGGACATTTATTTGGCAATTGCTATGTTTTCCCAGTTTGTATCCTGATGAACTCAAGCTTCTTTGATTTTTTTATTAAAATAAGCAGTAAAAGAACAATTGGACCTTGTTTTCTGTGCAGGATGATAACAAGAGTGTTTGACGATTTTGTAGCTCTCAGTTGGTACATGCGCTATGATTGGTCAATTTAGCGGGCCGTATTTTACTGTACTGCCCGTTAGATTCAAAAGTTTGTTTTGGTTGACGAAGAGATATCCACGTGCATTTACTTTGATCTCTGATTGGTTCCTAGAGATTTTAACCTTCGTTCTGATTGACTGGGTGTTTTGTTTGCTTTTAATTTTTACAACTATCAATTGAAATGCTATCTTTCGCTCGGTTTTTTCCTTAGTTCTAATTTGTTTCGCATTATCTTTATTACTATTCATTTCTAGGAACAGCCCTGAGGGGGGACAGTAGTAGCCCGGCACCGAACCAAGTTCTGACCAAACGACGACTGCAAGACTTGCTTCACGAGATTGACCCTCGAGAACAGATGGACGATGATGTTGAGGATGTGAGTTTCTTCCCCCCCCCCTCCCCCCCGTCCCTTTTTCTTTATTATAAGGTTGCAAGCAAGTGTGGTGTCTTAGATACTTTCAAAAACTACTTACAGTGTTGGTGAGTAATGTTGCCAAACAAAGCTCCAAGGGGCAGCTCTGTACAAGCTAAGAATAGACAAGCAGCATGTTGTTTCTGATTGTTCATCGTACGTCCGATTCATCGACATAGCCTGGGGTTATGATGAGTGCAAATTGGCAAAATTCTTGTTTTCAGCCTTCTTGGCCAGACAAGCTTGATCAACTAAGGATTTTATCCTGGCCCAAAAGGTTACTACAAAGAATTTTGCTTTGTTACAAAATAAATTCAGGAGATTTGTCCTATTTGGCTGACGGTTGCAGCGTTTAGTGACTCCATTCCTGTCAAACTTTTGGCGAACTTTTAACCCTAAGATAAAACCAACTTCTCAGTACTAAAACTGTGAGAAGTAAGGGGAATGATTTATTAGATATTGAGAGTGAAGTGGTTAAGCTAATGTGAGGAATTTCTTCTAAAAATTTTAAGACTGGTTTGTTTTCCGTGTTACAGCTGTTACTGCAGATTGCAGATGACTTTATAGAAAGTGTTGTAACGGCTTCCTGTCAGATCGCTAAGCATCGAAAATCAAACACATTAGAAGTACGAGATGTTCAGCTGCACCTAGGTTTGTATTTCACAGACTTCAACCACGATTAGACTATTCTGATCAATTTATTTCTTAACAGTGTATGTGTAGGTATTAAGAGACACGCTAGTGTAATGGTTACTAAGCCGGACTCCCGATCAAGTCGTCTGGGGTCGACCCCCCACAGGGGTCCTTGAGTTGCGCTCTTGGGCAAGAGATTTAATTCTCGCATTGCTTCTTCCTCCTTCCCCCCTCCCCCCACGAATATAAATTGCTACCAGCAAACTGTAAAGGAAACAAGGAAACATGACAAAATGCTTAGGGGGAGGGGGTGGGGGTGGTTATCGCTTGAATGAAGAAACATCCCGTCAGTGACAGAAACAGGTTAAAGCTCCTGGAGCAATGGCGGGAGACATGGTTGCTAAATGGTTGACGAGTCGAACGCAAGATCAAAAGTTAGATGTGCTAGGGTTAGTGAATTGTGTTCTAAGGCCACACTGCCAAAGCTCTCTAACCAGTTGGATGCGTTAAATCGAGATAATCACTGCATCTTTTTAGGCCAAACTAATTAAACACTTGTCTAGCACTGAGTATCTCTACCATTATGTATATTCTGTTTTCTTATTATTTTTGTTTTGGTTGTTCTGTGTACATTTTATAGAAAGGTGTTGGAACATGTGGATCCCTGGATTTGGCAGCGATGAACTTCGACCGTTTAAGAAACAGGCCACTACAGAAGCTCACAAACAGGTCAGTGCAAAAAAATTCTCGCTGTTCTTGTTATAACTGGGTTAATTCACAATTGTAGGAAAATTTTTGCTACAAATCAATTGGTTGTAACTTACATGGACGAAAAATATCGAAATAAAGGCTCAACTTTAAAACTGTTTTGTGTAATTCAGAACAATTTATTTAAGTTGTGGAAGATTGAAAAAAGAAAAGATTAAAACGTATTTTGGTCATTCGAAGGACCAAGGTAGGCGGACTTGGTTAGAGTTTATCTCAATATGAATAGAGCTGTCGTTAATACTGTCTGAAACATATATCTTTGGTGTTCGATTGCCGCGGTTTTTCAAATAAATATCAGTTACCAATCTGTCAAACTGAAATTCGTGGAGGGTAAATGGAAAGGAATTTTATAACTAATTGAAAGGAAAAATTTAGTTTGTCACCGGAAATAATGTTCCAACCCAATAACGCCGTCACTGTTTTATTGCCAGGGTCATCTTATTCTCTAGTAGAGAGGAGGATTAAATGGTTTAAAGGACAGGCGTCTCTAACTTAAATGATTCATTGTTGACTTTCTTATCCGCTTCATTCTCTCTCCGTTTTACGATCTGACTTGACTGGGATGCTCTTTCGTATGGCGGAGTTCCTTATCACAGGGCTACTTTCGTTGAAAAGTATCATTGATTGGTTTGTTTTTACGTTGTTTCTGAGATATTTTCCGCCACTTTTTGTATCTTGCAGAGGTTGGCCTTGATACGAAAATCGATGAAGAAGTAATACAGACGCTATGTTATCTTGTACGTAAATTGTTATTTATGATGATGCACGATATAAGAGGTGCTGGTTTTATTGTTTAAGGGAGAGCTCACAGTTTAAAAAGTATGGCGTTTGTTGATAGGTTGATGGCTCTCGTTGATTTCTTCTTCCTGTTACTGTAGTGATGTTAAGTTTACTTTGATTAAGAAATTTTCCTACCCCGACATCAAGAGAATTCGGCATAAATATTTCAAGCCATTTGACTTGAAATTATTTGCAATTTCAAACAAGTGCGCAAGAGCATGGGAATTAAAGGCAATTATATCAAAAGCAGTAGTTAACACCTTTCAAGCTCCCAGGATCTAATTGTTAATTCTCCCTTACCTTATACACATTTCTCTTTAAATAAGTTATGAAAATTTGCTGCTAGAGCAAGATGACAACTTCCATCCGATAAGTTTGAGTATTCTCGTTACCTGTTTGCAGGATAATGTATAGATGTTATCGGGAGAAGTTACATTTTAATCACTTCTTGGGGTTAAAGAGTTGAACTCCAGAAGAACGGCCAGTTCGAAATACAGGAGAGAAAAATCCATGAGCTTTCAGAAATCCTTTTTTATTTCTTATGCTTCGCACGAGGAAAAGCCCTCAAAAGACCCAAGGGGGATGTCGCAAACGATTAGTTGAGTACGAAGAAAATTGGCTTTGCACGAGCGGGTTACATATTGTGGTACATTGTGCGTCTGTTATCTGCAAGAACACAACGTAATTCACGAAATTTTCTCAGCCCGATGGGAAATTTCCATATCTCTTTTTATAGCTAAATCATCTAGTTTTTTCACTCGTTTAAATTCTGATACCAAGAAAGAAATTACATAACTTTACTGATAGAAAATAATTAATAGATTATAGCGCAATTTTCATTCACGTTTTTCTTGGTGTTATTTTATCTTAGTGTTTGAAGTTTCACATGCAGACGAATCTCCAAGGATCAAACCATCTGGCTAGGGCGTGGCTGGGTGCTTGCAAGAAAC